TCAGCAGGCAGTGACCATGATTAGACTTCAAAGAACGTCCATTCTCTGTTAAAATGGAATAAAATAAAAGATGAGAAAAGAAACCTTCACTGGGAACACAAATTAAATATGTGAAAAATCTTCTGCCATTAGATGCCCTTTTAGAAGTACCAGGCCTGAAGATTATTAGGTTATTATAGATTATTGTCGCAATAATTACACACTGTCAAACTCTGGGACCACGAGAAACTTTGCCTGCTGGTGCAAACTGGCTAAGGCCACGTAAAGACTCTTACTTGTCACAGCTGATCACATCACAGCTCCCGATTCACGTGCCAAACGGAGAGGCAGTTTACCCCAGCAAAGAAATTTTGCCTTTGATACACGATACACACGTGACACTCACTGAGGTGTATAAGCATCACACCTATGGGATTCTGCAACTGATTTACTAATTGCCTTGAAATTTAAACACCCCCTACACTCCAAAGAGGTGTTGGTCTCTGGTCCTGGCCTGTTTCCAGAGACTAGATTTTTACAGCTCAACGAACCACTGTGTTGCTGACTTCAGAGGCTTTGAGTTTCTCCGTTCAGTGATTCGGGTCCGGTCTAGTCTGACCAACAGGCGGAGTTCAGCACTGAGGAAACAGCAGCCAGACCCAGGGGGTGGGGGAAGAAGCATCACCAGGGAAATACGCACCTTCTGAAAATTAACTCCTTGCGCCCAGGAGCAATTCTTGGGGTTTGGAACATCTTCCCAAAACAGTTTCTTCATTCTGAAATATCGGGTAAATTCTGGAGTTGGTACTGTTCTCATATATTCTGTACTGCTGCCATTCACCTTTGCTATGTCAGAAAAGGAATCTCTGCAATTTTATTTATCCAGAACATTATGACAATGAAACAATAATTCTAGATGTTACAGATGGCCAAAATTTAATAGAAAAAAAAATCAAGAATTAAAGAAGTGACATACTAGGTGGCAGTTTTGCAAAATATAAAAGGTACAGGCAGTCTTTGCTGAATATGACCCAACCCACCTTCTACAAAACTCAGCGGGATTTTTTTCAATTGGCTTTTACTTCAGACCTTGGTTTGTAATGACAGTTAAATATGGAACTCGGAGTGCTTTACAAATTCAAAGCACATGACACTCATTAACTAGCCCACAAATCTCTCTGCAAAAGTAAGGAGTATGTGGTACAGGCTGAAGTGATACTTCTCAGTGAAAACAAACAGCACTGATGATCATCTTACTGCAAAGACACCAGACCCGAAAGGGCAATGCTCTGACTTGTACCAAGCCCGTGAACTCAAGACACTTCATTCTTGGTGCTGTATTCCACAGACTCCGCGGCCTTTCAGTACAGTACATCAAATTTACCATAAAAATAGTTCCTAGCTTTCCCCAGAAAGACCCTGCCCACCAGTTCAGCAGACAGGCATCAGCTCAGCTGCATCACCTTCTTCTAAAGGCCACCTGGGACTTTTATATGACAAAGAACAACTTACCTTTGGTGAGAAACCAGCAATGCTCCAAGCAACAAAACTGAGGTTGAAATAACTATTGGCAGAACCAAATAGAGGCTGGCGTTGTTCTCATGTTCATATCCACCTGGAAATAAAAAGAATTCAGATAATAAGGCAGTAAAATAATTTATCTGTGAACAAATAGTTTGCAATAGGGAAATAATAAACAGTAGAAGCAACAGCTTAAACACACAGAAACTTGATAAACCATTCTATTGCACATCAACAGACCTTCACCTTGAGAACAATTAGACAAAAAGGAAGGAATTATTTGAAATACTGAGGTGACTCCTCCATCCCTGTGGGAGATGCCCACTGCTCCCTTGCTATTAAGAAATTAAATCGGAGCACATGAAGTAAGAGAATAGTCCGCAATTGGAGAATGAAGAATCACAGGGACCTGGGATCTCAGCTATTAAGTCGGGTGTATGGGAATTCAGGTCCCTCACTCAACTAATACCCACAAAGTTTTCAAATTAAAGCAACTGAAGTCTAGATCACTGTTTACAGTTATATTACAATTACTTTATTACTGACATCTTTTTCTGATAAGAGACAGACTTCCCAGGCATTTGAAGTTTACTTTTACAAGCTCCTATTTCATAAACAACATGGAGGAACATCCTGTAAGTCACCTTTGGTAAACCGATCCGTTGCTCTGGATTTGCCAACTCCTCCAGCAAACACAGGGTACAGGCTGAACTGGTACTTCTCAATCAGAATGAAGTGATCTGGAAAGAGGAAATCGGCCTTTTGAATCAAAACTATTATCCTCCTTTTACACAACTACCTCCACAGAGGCTCTGGTCACATATTAGAGTACAGGTCAGCCCAGAAAGGGGAATAATGAAAACCATCTTTTAGAGATACATACTTAATATCAGAAGATTAAAACCATTAATTTATACTGGATAATCTAGCATTATTCTGTCATGGAATTAACACCTTTGTGGAGCTATTGTAAAAATTTCTAAGATTAAAGCCAAAATGTAAATGGAATGCACACAGTAACTGAGATAATTAGCTGGTGTACTCAATATTCCAGAACTAATTTTATTGCATTGCCAAAACACGAACACACTCCTGAGCTTCATTCTACGTTAACCTGATTATTAATGCAACAAGTCAATCCTTTACAGTCAGTCCTCTAATGATAATCAAGAATTGCTCTACTGGTCCTTACCATAAAAGCCATCAGAAACAGAGAGGAGGAAAAAAAGGAATCCGAGAGCTCAGTAACGCTACATTTTTCTGTTCTGTAACAATTAACATAATGTATTATATTTTCAAGTGCACACTCACCATAAATATAATATTTACTAATATTTGGAGGAACTCGCACCCATTTCATCTCCTCTTCTTTGTTAAGGTTTTTCCATTCAATAATAAAAGATGTTATCACGTATATTTGAGGTGAAAGCGTCCAAATCAAAATCACACAAGTGCTGTTCACTGGGTAAGCGCTAAGCGACTGCACAACGCTTACTGGCAGAACAAGGAGAAAACAGCCGTGAATTACATGAGCTCAGAAGTAAGATGAGAGCTGGGTTAGCAGGAGAGGTGTATGCTATAAACTACACGCACACAAATAACTGCTATGGTTTTAGCACTTTATCATTTACTTGTTTAATTATCTTCTACATAATAAAGCCAGTTCTTTAATTCCCCCCAAAATATCAACAACTGCTGAACTGTCAACATTTAGCTAGTAAAGCACACGCTGAGAGCCTTGTAAGCTAAATCCTATTGAATCTCTCCAAGTAATACACCAAGACAACAATCCAGTCGGACAAATGCTTCCTATTACATCTGCTACCAACCACAGGGTTTCCAGAATACACTTACACACAATATCAGAAAGAATTTTATCCATTACAGCAGTAAAGTTCCAAGAACAGACAGCAGTAATGTTTCCACAGCATATATTTGCATATGAATGTTACAGAATTGAAATATTCCAAAGCAACAGCTTTTATTTTATTAATAAAGCAGAGTGCAGCCGAATCAATGAAGAGGCCGCTAAGGAAGTAAAGCCAAACCTCTGAAAACTATGTACTCTGGCAGCCTGTCAGGTGAGCAGCCAGAGAAACAAGACCATATTTCATTTTGGAAACAACAAAACATTCCCTAGCAGGAA